CCACCAATAATGGACACAAAACACATTTCTTTCAAAGAAAGACCAGACACAGTAACACTTTACCTGATTGTTTATTTTAATCCAAGAAAGAGAAACATTTGTCAGTTTACGCCGAGTGATCTTTGTATAAATTAGTGGTGTAGTGACTCATCGGTGCACCAAGGTGAATTTTGTGTTGAACGTGAAAAGTGTTCAGTGTGCCTTTTTACTTTTTCCTATTTTTAATCTGAATTAAGATTTTAAATAGCACCATTATGTCTGGTTGGACCCTTTTTATCATTTATTTTCTCATTACTTCTTTTGTTTTTCTTCCCAAAAAAAAGTAGAGCCAGGTTTTAACAAAGGTACAAAACCAAAGTCCCTCAGAAGTTTCCCTGTACGACCCACCGTGTGGAGTTTTGGAGCTTCTTTTGTCTGCTTCTCTACCGTGCTTTTTTTCTTGTTGGTCAATCAGTGTATGCCATTTAAAAGTATTATAGCAATATTTCTCTAGTTGAAGAATAAAGTCCTGAAGATTCTAGTGGACGTGTTTCCAAGTATCATTTCACCTCCAGCTGATGAAACAAAAACACCAATCTATCGATAAAAAAACAGTTTTATATTTACCTTCTTTGATGTTGACCATACATAAGCTAACTTGCTGTTGAGATTAAAAAAAGGTTTATTGAACATAACATTTTTGTCTGTGTTTTTTTATTTGTGTGTTGGGATAATACTCAGCTGTTTGTGGTCCTCCTGGTTATTGAAGTGTTTCCTACCACACACACTCTGCTACCTTCCCCACAAAAGGGCATTTTCCTGTAACTACATACTGCAGCTGTGTGATGGCACCCCAGGGTGTCATGGTGTAGGCGTGGGTTAATGACCTGGAAAAATATCACACCAAGTGCTCCACATAAACTGTTGAGTCACAGCTGAACCTGAAGTCTTTGCAACCAGAAGCTCCCGAGGCCGACAAACTATAGGAGCTGCAGTACACGACTCGTCATTTAAATATATGTATTCTCTAAAGCTTGACTTTAACTGCAAACAAATATTTTTAGCGGCAGGGTTAATGTGATCACAGTCCTGCTCACAGATGGGTTATATATCTCCAGTGAAGTATACAGGAGATGACAGATGTGTAGTTCTCCGATCACAACAAAATAATCAGTTGTCAAGAGTTTAATAGATTATAAATGTTCACACGTCAGTGAATGACAGCGTACCTGGAGTGAATCACCCCGAGGCAGAAGGCTCTACCCAGCTGTTCTGACTTACAGGTGAGGAGACAAAAGAGCAGCAATGAGTGTCAATCAACTCGTCATCACCATCAAGTGGAACAATCCGGTGTTTCCAGAGCTGCCCTGCTGAACAATTCACAGCAGCACTTTCACAGAACTACAAAAGCAGCAAATAAGAAGACGACATCTCAGAGACAGAGAATCAATCAATCTTTTAAAGTGTATTTATATAGCCCAATATCACACATTTTACATTTGTCTCAGTGGACTTTAGAGTTTGTTAAGAATATGAATATGACACCCTCTGTCCTTGGACCCTCACATTGGACAAGGACAAACTCCTATGGAACCCCGCAGTTAATGGGGGTGAACATTGAAGAAACCTTGGGGAGAGCAACAGAGGACTGACTGACATGCAATAGATGTGGTATGTAAATTAAAAAAATAATATATTTGCAACATAGGTAGTCCAAATGCTTGAAAATGCATGTGTCTATAATAAGAAGATTAATCCAGGTGGATTTCAACAATCTTTTGGGAGCCATCAGGGACAAAAGCTATCAAAAACTAAACTGGCTGCTCTTTTTTTACAAATTGGGCATACCGAACGAACCCTTTAAAACTCCATGATGTATCTAGACTGAAACACACCTTTCATCTTAAAGGCATCTTCCAGACAACTAAGCACACGTCCCTGTTGTACAGCTAGCTGTGAGCCTCTGCAGCATTTTGCAGGCTTTTATACGGAGTGTTTACAGACGGGAGGAGGGACTGAATAATGAATCTCCTCTGATAAGCACCGAGGCCCTGACCGGGGGCTGAGATCTCTGGTCTGACATCACCTCCATGGCAACTGCCTGCCAATGTTTATCAAACTACATGAAACTCAAACACATTTCTTTCTGATAGTAAAGTGCAGCTGGAGGAGGCCTGTCCTGAGCCGAGCTCTGATTGGTTGACCTCAGCTTCACATCTGTGAAGAAGGCTGCAGACTGGGAATACATTCAGAGCAGAATACTGCTGCTACAAAATGAAAGCATGCCTCTATGATGTTTAGAGCAGAGGTTTGTCCCTGTTGTGTGGAAAGGATCATGAAGAGGGACGTTCAATCCAATCAACCCACACACAGGACAGCTAATCCAGCTAATCCACTACCAGAGTAGCTAAGGGGGGGGGGGGGGGGGGGCTTCATGGAAACCAGGGTCTCATTTCTTTTCCTGGGATCAGACCATGTGCACACTGATAATCTGAAACATGGGATGGGTCACACTCATACTGATCAGATGTCAGTCAACTAAGCCTCACATTTAGCATCTGTTGCTTTCAATGCAAAGTGAATTTGACACTGAACAGGGCTGCGAGACTGGCTTTAAATTAAACAAAATGGGATCAATCCATTATCCCATTAAAAACAAATCTCCTTCCTGCTCAACACCTACTCTAGAAAGAAACACCACCAGATAAAAGGTGAAGGGCTATTGGCACACTGCCATTCTATTTTTGATAAGTATAACCTTGTAGAAAATGTCCCTTTCAGACAGCAGCGATTTCCATAGAAATATAGTTATTTATAGTCGGTCTATGTATTCCGTGGCATTGTCTGCCATTGAGACCTTCAGTCTGTCAGAGACACTCTTAGGGGAAGAGACAGAGAAAAGAAAGCCGTAATCTTCTTTTTCTTCAATAAAATATCAGAATATCCGAGTCCTATTCACTCATCAGGCCAAAGTATACTGTAATGACATCAATGGTTGCTATGACAACAGGAGGAGGGTGGATGACAACATCCTACTGCGTCTTTTTTAGAGCAGGAGATCACAGCACTGTTCAGGATTAGAGCTGCACAGAAAATAAATTAATTAATGTAAAAAGAAAAAAAGGCTTGGAGACAAACACATACGCTCTCAGTGAAGAAGGAAACACACTGCAATGCGAAGCACAAAAACATTCAAAAACGCTCTGCTTGGCCTCTGTTTTCTTATATAAATGCAGGTGTTCCTTGAAGGTCGTACAGCAGTCATAAGCGTGTGTCCCCCATTATTCAGCTTCAGTCCTGAGTCTCTGAACACATGCAGCCGGCAGATGGACAGAGTCTGAACATCCCAGTACAGATGACCCAGAAGTGCCTGAAAAAACTGTCTCCTTCAGGCTCGAGGCTAGATGTTACAGCCGAGCCAAGAGTCACACGCTCTTTCTTGAGCTATCCTTGGTCTGATATTATCTGGAGTCGTAAGTTTGTGCGGTTTATAAACCCCTGCTGCATCGCTGAAGGATGACAGAATAAAGAGGGGGGAGCTGAAGTGACAAGGTGACTTAAGGAAAATGTGTCTGCCAGCGCTCTGCTTACCCCGACTGATGTTTGTCATTTGTCACAGTGAGAGCATCTGACCTCACTCTGTGTGTGTGTGTGTGTGTGTACCATGCTGTGTGGGGGCTTTGCATGACTCCTTTCATTATATATGACACAGTCCTGGGAGGCAGCTGCATTGACGTCAGGGCTCTCAGCGCTGTCAAGGGCTCTGGCTGCTGAAAATCCCCCCCCAAATAACGGGAAGGAAATAGAAAGAAATAGGTTGCTGCTGTTTCATTACGGCCTTGTGAACCCAAGTAGATTTAGGCGGGTGGGGGGGCGGATTAGCCCTCGCCCTCAACTAATCGTGTTTTAATGAAGATTTCCAGTTGAAGGAAAAATTACAGTAAAACATATTTTCTTGTGAAAAAAGTGAAAAGTATGTTTTGGTTATGCGTCTCTGAGGTTAACAATCCATCCTCCTCCCACCTCATGTATAGCAATGGCTCTCAAGGTGGTCTCGCTGTAGCAGAATGTGCTGACACAGCAGCTGCGCCCGCACCTGTGAATTACATGTATATTACAGAATAAGTGCTTAATGGTGCTGAGGTTTATACAGTCAAAGGGCTGGGAGGACACATGGCTCCAAGGAGGGCTGACGGGATTTGAGGAGATTAAAAAAAGGAAGGTTCTCATAAAGATCTCCGTCATGTGATTTATTACCTTTATCTTCTGTTAATTACACATTTGGAATTAACGGAACAATGTCTGCTGCCGGTAGTAGAGCGTACATACACCCAACTTCACATGTTCGAGAAGTACAAATCTTTCTCAGCCCAGCCCTTATTTCACGGCGTTCCACTCCCCAGCAGAAGTCGGGGTGATGGCAGGGGTCAGCTGCAGACCCTGCCCCTGCGCTTTCATCTCCACAGCAGACGCCCACTCAGTCAGAGCTGACCAAATAACAGACCAGGAACGTGTGAAATTAATCCCACATTTTCTTGCGTCATTCACGGACTGAGAAGCTATACTCCTCACTTTGAAGGGATATGTTACAAAGCCAACAGAGTACTTACCACTCTGGAACTTCACGTTTTACACCGCAAAAGGCAGAGGGGATAATTAGGACATTTTTAATAGTGAATTACTTTGATACGTGATGGTCTACTGAGACTAAAATACTTTATTTTAAAAATTGCATGAACATGTTTTGGAAAGCACATCACAAATGCAGGTATAGATAAATCCTTAAGGAACGTCTGCAGGAGAACAGTGACTTGGTATTTCCCAGGAAGGAAATGACACAACCAAAGCTTAACTGGAATTGCTTGAAAAAAATAAGCAAATAAAACAATTTAGTCTTTTCACATAATGATCAAGTCAAATGTTATTGTCAGAAATTCTTCTCATGTCAAACTATACAAATTATATTTTTCTATTTCACATTAAATGTTTGGAGTCAACTAATAATAAAATAGCAGACTACATCAGTTTGTTTGTGTTACTTTATTCAGATCAAGATACAGTAGTACAGCATCCCAATGTGGAGAAAATGTAAAGTAAAAATAAAAGCAGTCTTCGTGATACAGGACAATCAACAATCAGGGTTTATTCAAGAACAGAATGGGGGGGGGGGGGAAGGGAACAGCGGGAGTAGTTCAGGGAAAAACAAAAGTTTCTTTTATCAGCACAGAAGACACATTTATTCAACCCGCCCATAACCACCCCAGCCCCCACCCCATAATAAAACATTATGCACCCTTACGTACACATTCTCCTGTCCCCGGTCACTCGTTCTTTGAAAGCACGCACTTGTTCTCCATCCTGCAGATACTTCATAGCAGGAATCCTTGGGTGGGCCTTTGTTTGTTGACCCTATGCTTTTACAATCTCATGTAGAGTGGAGGACTTGGCCTGGATTTAAAGGGGGCCTGGGGGGGGGCTCCAGGACACACAGAGTGACGTGTTTGGTTAACGGCCCTTATTGATGTAGTCAATTTAGTTTTACCATCACACTAACGTCCACGTAATAAAGTGTCCCTTACAGAGAAAGCACACTGTTGTCTTTTTACAGAACAGGAGAAAACGGTTTACCCAGGCAGACTCAAATAAAACACCACAGTTTATCAAAGTAATTGGCACAAAGATTAAGAGCAATGCCGAGAACATATTGCAGAAAATCACAACCACTTCCCACCCTAGTACATCAACATCACTGAGGAATTGTAAAAGGGATAATTACCAGCAACACTTTGCTAAGATGGTCCCCATTACGGTGGGCCAGGGTAATTCATTGTCTGGCCGTACATTGGAAGTACATGCTATTATTGAGTTCATCAGATTTCCTGCAGTAATGGACACCCTATTAATACTTTGTCAGAGCTTATTACAGAACAATCCTGTGAAGCACTGAGGAGACACAGGTTTGCTCTGGTGGGAAAAAAAGAGAGCTTAGTAGACCGGCACAGACTTTTACATTTCTTCTGCAGAGGGCCACAGGAGTGTCTCAGGGAAGAGAGAGCGCGATCAAAGGCCTGACTTGGGAGGAAGCGTAGCAAAATAAACAGCTTGCTGCACCATCTGCTGCTCAAAGTGTGTGTCTAGCATTGTGAGAAAAGCACAGCAGCACAGAGAACTAGCATAGCGCTAGGTAGCGAAAACGGACACTTGGTAAGCGGTCGTGGAGGTACAACATCGGGCGAGGAATGTGTGAGGGGGGGGGTCTGGTTAGCGATGTCTTGCTAGTACAGTAGCGCATTCGTCAGCATGCACCACTTAATGCAATTTATTTGACACTTTGCCTTTGATAAAGCACCCATCTACAGCAAAGCGGAAGGTTAAGAAAGAAGCCTGTGCTATGCGCTGACATGGTCTACTATTGGACAGTAAAAAGAAAAAGAATAAAACAATTGTTAACAGCTTTCTCTATACATTTACCAGTTGTTCCTGAACATCAATAAATATATCGTAAAAGCGTTGTTGTCTTGGGAGTTTGTCTGGTTTAGCCATGGTGGGGTGGTTATGCTAGGACCAGAACTGTTGAAGGGAGAGAACGAGAATAAGATTTCTTGCTACTCAATATAATGTAAATTCCATATACATTTATAATGATAGCAGAGAGAACAGCTTACCACTGATGGCCTCCTGGGCAAAGTACTTGACATCCATGTCTGTGTCTGTGGCCAGCTTCTCCAGCACCGGCTTCACTTCTGTTTGAAGGGCACTGTGGGGGGGAGAGGGGGGAGTATCAGACCAACTGTCCTTCTGGTTCTTGAGTCGAGTGAGATGATCCATTAAAAAACGCCCGATGCCGAAATCACATACCTGCTATCGATGACGGGGCCGATCTTCTGGAGGGATTTGGCCACGTTGAAGCGCACGTTGGCCACCTGGTCAGTGGACATCTTCAGGACCACCGGCAGCATCTGCTTCGTGGTGATGTCCTGACCACATGCCTCTGACAGAGCCTGGGACACAGCATACAGAGGGTCACTCACAGTGAACATTGGCATATAATGAATCAGTCCAATATAGCTTTAGCAGCTGATAAAAACAGATCAAATGTGTCTCATTATTGAACAATGAAGTCCCTCCAAAGCTCTGAACATGAGAGCAGGTCAAAGTCAGCTGAGACTCACGTTGATGCAGAACAGAGTGGTCATCCTGTGCAGGTAGTTGGGGTCGTTGGCCATGCCCAGCACTTTGGGCACGATGGTGTTCTGAGCCCACTCGGCTCCAAACTTCTCCACCAGCTTCATGAGGTTACAGGTGGCTGCCTCCCGGATGGCGTACACTGGAACATGAGAGAGACAACAATCTGGGTTAACGGTGTGCTCGGGTTTATCTTTCTCCAAGTCTCCATGGCACAGAGGACCTCACACCGCTCACTTCCTGTCTGCTATTCGCTTCATAAACAGTGGAAATCCCTGCTGTTTTATTTACTTCTCATGCAGATTAACATCTCATTTGCATTTGTTACATAGATATAAAAGTATTTAAACTCATAGCTCTGCTTTTACTGGCTCGCTGCTACTTCTGCCTTTTCCCCGAACACTGTAAGCCGACCGATGGATTGCTTTAAGTGGATGATTTTTCCAGACATTGTGTGAAAATTATGTTTCAAGCATTTTGATCCATATAAGCGGATTATCCCTAAATGTGCTTTCCTATGTATTCATGTACTCTTTGTATGCTTTACAGATCATAAAGGAAAATATATACATTGACAGTTTGCGTAGACTGTACAATATTCCTATGATGAAAAGTCTGACAAATCTAAAAAAGACCTTACTCCGTATACTGGGTAAAAACTGAGAAGTCATTAAGATGAAAGAGCAGACAGAAGTCACGATTATATTGACATGTGAAATATAAGATTTAAGATGTCTTTAATAAAGTGAGGGAAGGTTAAGTCCTTCACTGAAGAGCTGTAAGGGTGTCACAGCTTTAACCCCAGCTAAAGACACACACACACTTCCAATGATGTAACCCAGATGGCCCTTTGTTCTCAATGGTGAGTGTGTGTGTGTGTGTGTGTGTGTGTGTGTGTGTGTGTGTGTGTGTGTGTGTGTGTGTGTGTGTGTGTGTGTGTGTGTAATTGGAACTTGATGTGCAGAGAACACTATATACACTCAGAGGGTGTTTCTCAATGTCGAGGACGCTTCCTTGGTAGGACAAGTCTTCCGAGTCAGGTCCTTCAGAAGCTCGACAAGAATCCTTCCTGGCATTCGGAGAACGAAGAATGGAACAGGCGAGCAAGTGTGCGTCATATGAGAGGCCCCGCCTTACATTTTCCGCCACAGATTTTGGAAATTGGTCCGTGCGCAAAGCATTGTGGGGATTTTAAGACCGCGGAGGATACACAGCCTCGAAATTTCTCGCTACGAAGGACGCCGGGCTCGGTAGCATTCCAAGCAGCCTGGACATTGGAACAGTCCTTCGGCGGGACTCGATGACGTAGCATCCTTGAAATAGTGGCTCTGAAGCATCCTTCCTTGACATTGAGAAACACCCAGAGTGAAAATTCATGCAAAAGACAGTGCTCCAGGTTCTCAGGTGGAACAGGGTGTGACGTCCAACAGACCCGTTCAAAGTGCAAAGTAGAGAGAAGGGCCCAGGATAAACCAGCTCAGTTATGAACTCACTCAGAGTGACCCAACTGGGATCTATAACTCCATTAAACACAGCTAGAGCCACAACATGAACGGCAGATTGTGACCTACAACAAAAGGGTTGAATGAAGTATGTTCAGTAATGCATATAGAAGTTATGAAGCAGCTGTGCCCTGGTTATATCATTCTGATGTCAAAAACATTGTAGTACAGTTTGTAGGGGTCTTTCACCTTCAGAAGAGGACAGCTGTCTGCCAAGTGGACGGGCTCAGGTGACTAATGGCGCATTTCCACTACACGGCCTCGCTCGGCATGGCTAGGCCTCGTTAGGACTGGCTCACTTTATGGCGCATTTCCATTACAGTTTAGTAGCTGGGGTAGTATCTATAGTAACGCAGTGTAGGCGGAGCCGTGACGTCATCTTCAATGAGAACCCCAGAAAAACAACATCAGCCGTTAGCTGTTAGCACTCAGAGCTCACAGCTCCTCATATCTGTTCAGAAACTAGACAAAAGTTAAACAAGTACAAACCACAGACTGTCTGTGTCATGGTGAATACAGTCGCTGCTTTATTTATGTCTGTATAGGCCGTTGTTGTGAGTGGACGGTCGGAGCATATACAACGTTAGCTTAGCCGATCTCCATTTAGACAACAAGCATTTTAAAAGGCTTTTCCCCTGCCGTCTGTCTGCAGACTTGTCAAAGCATTAATTCATGGTTTTTACTAACCGGTATCAGTATGTTGTTACTTCGGCATCATTTTGAAACGTGTATTACAATTAAATCACGGTCAAATATGTTCATCTTGTTGTAGTTGTAGCCCCCTTGCCAGCGATTCTCTCTCTAGTTTAGCATACTCAGCTCGACTCAGCCTGGTTGTTGGCCCGGAAAGAACCTCGATTTTATGGGGCCAGAAAAACTGTGAAATAGTACCCGCTAGCCGGTACTACGCTAAGTGGAAACGCAACCAAAAACGGGCCCCGCACGGCTCGGCACGCTTAAAGCGAGCTCCGCGTTGTAGTGGAAATGCGCCATAAGGGCACTGATGCTCTTAAAACCTGTTGAGCCCTGAGCCTGTTTTTCAGGTCTCAGGCTCGAAAATGACATTCCCAGAACAAATGACTATATCTTCACTTCTAAAAGGGGTAAATTAATAATCTTTTTTCTCAAAGCAATGATAAACCTGTGAGTTGGATGTAGAAAAGTCAGAATCAATATAGATTTTTTAAATTTTAAAGTAAATTCAGATTGAACATAGTAAAACATTACTTATAGTGAAAACCACCCTTGAATGATGGGATAGTAGACTAAAAGCTTTAGGAATCCAAACTATAACATATAATAAGTACCCTGTATCAAGATTGATGCAAAACAAGGGAAATTTGACCTTTTTAGAGAGATTTAGAAGAAAAAGAAACTCACTTCTGGGGTCATTTGGGTGCATTTTTCATATCTCTGACCCCCCTCGTTCGATTTTGATGATTGACATCTCTTTTTAACCGTTAGCCAATAGAATCGAGGGGAAGTTCCTAAAATCCATCTAAACATTACCCATTGGTGAATGAGTGATGCGCAGCCAGATTGCCCCGGAACCCGAAGCTGCGATACACTCTGGTGGCTATCATTAGCAGCTAATATTAAATCTCCGTTTTTGACATAAAAATGGAATGATGGATTATCAGTAATCATTTCAAAGTGACACAGACACATTGGATTAACCTATGGATTAACCTTCAGCAGCGTTTTTATAGTTTTAATGCCATTGAACACGACTTTTGATCAGAATAACAGCTAAGGTGAGACGATCTCCCGTGAATGCTCCGTAGTGCTACGTGTTGTGACGTCTGTGTTTGCTTCCCCTGTCGCGAGTTCTGATCGCTCAGTGATGATACCAATACCTATAGAATCTGTGGAATCTCAGCTTTAATCTGATATCTGTATGTGCAGTTACGATAAGTAATAAGGGTATTTTTTACCTTGAGTTCTGAGCTAAGTGCGTTAGCATTTTTTCGCTCAGGGCTCATTTAGACGCTTCTTGTGAGACTTGTCTTTTGTTTCGGTAATTTGTTTTCATATAGTCAGTTAGCTGAGTTTAAATGACACATTAATAGGTTTTTAAATATTAAGAAGCCCTGAGACACAGTTTCGTGAAAAAACATCCCGCAGCCCCCTGTACAGGGGGCTCTCGGGCTTAACAGGTTAAGGCAGGACAGGCAAATCATTGATAGTCAAATTGAACAGTCTTGACTTCGAGCATCAGGCTGCTGCAGAGTACAGAGGGCAAAGACAAATGAAAGGATCCCAACAGGAAAATAAAGGAGCAGCTGCTTTGGGAATCCTTCTCCAGGAAGTCGGTTTGGGGATGTTTCAGAGGTTATTGTGCTTTGAGAACATAAAGGAAATAAAATGGAAAATACTTGGACTTATTTGTAATTGACCGAACAAATTATTGCCATAAAAGTCGCTTATGCAAGCAGCCCAGTTTATGCAAACATTTTTGTCAAGTGCCAAAAAGAAAGTGGGTTTTTGTCCACTTTGTTATATCTGAAAAAGATAGCCTATATGTCTTACAACAAAAGTGCCTTACCGTGATCAATCAGCCAGGCCATACAAAGGGTGTTGAGCTTCTCATCAAAGAATTCCACTCCCTGAGAAAACACAGTGGAGTTAGAGCACTTCCTGGATGTCAGTCTGTTGTCTGCACATTGCTAAAAGCTCTGGTTCTATACATGGAAGTAGTTAAGAAAGACCGTTAAAACATATTGACTAAACGGTGTCATCTGTGCTCCGAGACTCCTAGACTCACCAGCTGTCCTGCCAACAGGGGCATGTACTCGATGATGGCGAGGCGGACCCTCCACTTGGCGTCCTCTGCCAGCTCCACGATGGCCGGCAGCAGAGACTGGGAGAGCTGACGGATGCCGATCACCTCGTTCACACAGTCCAGGTTGGAGATGATGTTGAGGCGCACCTCGGGGCACTGTGGCACAAACACGCATTAATCACAGCAAAGTATTTAGGTAAAAAACAAACTGTCTGCTGTCCAAGTAGATTTACTCAAGATGATTGGTTTAAAATGAGGGTTATTACAATCCTTATACTACAGGTAATAGAGGATATGGAAGCTGAATAAAGTCAAATTCACATTCTAAGGATCACACTAGAGCAGGGGTCTGCAACCTTTTTGACCAAAAGAGCCATTTTCCCCCCTTTTCCACCAATGTTTTTTGTCTGGAGCCGCAAAACATATTTGATAGCTTATAAAGTTGTATATATCATTGACAAAAACTACAGTTTTTATGCATTTATTACATTGTAGAAAACTGTTTACCAACAATTTACCATTTACCTTAATAATAAACAAAGAACTCTTATAAGGAGAATAACAAAAATACACAGGCCCACTTTAAAATAAATTAACACAGCACTTGGGGAGTCCTCTGCACATTTGAAGAAAATTAATATAATTAAAATGGGCCCACTTTGAAATAAATAAAACATATAGCTGCACCCTAAAAAGAGTTAACTGATTGAATTATGACTGAAGATCGTCAGCTGTCTTCCTCTTCCGTGTTTTCCCTCCAATACGTAAAGGCTGCAGCACCTTTAACAACTTCTCTCTACATATCAAACACATCGGCAAGCCAGCATTGTTTGCTGTGAAAGCATATAACTCTGTCCACGCAGAGGATATGACGCATATTTTAGTTGACCTAATTAAAACCGTTTTCTTTTTTTATGTGTCACAGTATCACCTCAAAATACAAGATACGAAACATTTTCAACCGTGCAACAAAATAGAAATAGTCCTACAAATATCTTTATTTTATTTCCTTCTTATTTTTGTCTAAGCTCAAGGGAGCCAGAGCAGAGGGCTTAAAGAGCCGCATGCGGTTCTGGAGCCGCGGGTTGCCGACCCCTGCACTAGAGGAACCTGTAGGAGTTGATGTTTATTCACTGAATCCCAAACAACTGTAGCAGTTGTTTTGAAGGTCCTTCAACTCCTGCTTTTCATTCAAAGTAATGTCTTATATGATGGGCCCTTGCGCTTCCTTAGAAACTTCACTTTTCTTCAAACCATCCACTTTTGACTATGGAACTACTCCAATCATTGTAGGGACATTTGCTATCTGAGCGTTTACACCCCCGACTCCAACTAATATTTCGATCTCAAACAGGTTATCGAAATTAATTAGTGTTTGAGCTTAATATGAACAACTCGCACTGTGTTCTACTCTATCATTTTCTTGTCTCCAGCGAAGCCACTCGAGTCTTTATCAACAAACTAGACGTCCAAGAAGTTTCATCTAGAAATATGAACCCAGGTTTCTATAAAAGATCCTTAAAAGGACATCTGCTTTAGTTAAAGTTTGAACATGTTAACAACTGGAATAGCTTAACAAAACAATTGATATTCCTAAAACAGAAGCCCTAAAGTGCACAATGATTTGAAATACTCAGTCAGGGTTGTTAGAGTGGGAACTGAGAAGTAGCCAAGAAGGCACGGTAAGAATTAAAATAATTGAACTTTTAAATGAATAGCACATCTGCAAATGTCTCCATCTTGCTCTCTTTAAGCTGTCCTACGCACGTTGAATTATCGAAACGTGCAAGTCAAAGCTGTCAGTCCGGACATAAATCTAATTAGACACTCTTAGTGTTGCGTTGGAGCTGTGAGGAAATGGGGCCATCTTTAAATAGGACTAAAGCAGGCAGAGAAAGGACCGACAGCCTTAAGCCTCCCTAAACATGGATATACATTTGTGTCCAACCTGCCAAACTCTTGCCTTATCTCAATATGTAAATGCATGTCGTGGAAATGTATTCATAGGACAAGATGTGACCGAGCCATTGTTGTTCTAGATGAACCTGTTACGTCAGCTGATGAATGTTCTTGTACATTCTTCTCCTAAAACCCAGCCCATTGTAACTTCATGCAGACTAACTAAATCAACTGATCCAGAAACACATCATTAAAATAATGACAACATATCTGAAATGCATGAAAGCATGTATCAGATTACTCTTCAAAACTATTGTATGTGCTACATGGTCAGCTGGGAAATATATATGCAGGAATCCTGAAGTCAAATGTAAGACCTTTTAAGACCTTTTTCTGATTAAATGTACTACTTACTTAAAAAGGTAAATACAATTAAAATGTATCTAGCAAAGACGTATCTAGTTGCAGGGTGTCCAGCTTTTCATTATGCTTCCCTCTAGACAACAATTCAATCTTCTAATTGTAAAGTCGCAGTCTGGCTGCCAACCCAATGACTCACCCTCCCACTCAGCCAGGTACATGTGGTGGCTACACCTAAGTGGCTCTACACTGACTGAGAAGGATCACTACCATCCAAAAAAGTTGGACAAACTCGGAGCTTCACATTAAGTTTTAGCTGTGAATGTTACCCAACCAATCACTGCCTGGAGTGAACAATATATAAGAGCAGGGTATATGCAGGAATCCTGTAGTCAAATGTAAGACATTTCAAGAAGAAGAATAGAATAGGGAGGGATGAAACCCTCTTTAATGGTCACACATGCAGAGCACACAGCACACACAGTGAAATTTGGCCTCTGCTTTTAACCCATCCTAGTACAAGGAGTCTAGTACTAGGAGCAGTGGGCAGCTATTGTACAGCGCCCGGGGAGCAATGGGAGTGGGGGGGAAGGGGGGTGTCCGGTGCCTTGCTCAAGGGCACCACGGCAGGGCAGGAGGTGAACTGGGACCTCTCCAAGTAGAAGTCCACACTCCATATTTAGGTCTGGTCGGGGACTTGAACCAGCGACCCTACGGCTCCCAGTCCAAGCCCCTACTGACTGAGCCACTGCCGGACAGACCTTTTTTAAGACCCTTTTCATACATTTTAAGACCTCATCGCCACTTGGAGTTTTAACCGGTTACATTGGCGACACACTTTACCTCACATTATACAGTATTGATTGTCCTTCCTCCTTATCTTCCAACCATTTGGACGCAAACTTGCATTTCCCCCATCCCCATTTTCGCTAAATTGATTTATCAACGTTTAATACTTTTTAAGACCCCGCGGACACCCTGAAGAGACATGGAGGCCTACTATTACAAGTGTGCGTTTGGTTTACCTCGTCCTTGAGCTGAGCCAGGAACAGAGGTAGTAAGTGCTCGATTGTGTTGTCCTTGCCCAGGATGGTGGAGAGGCCCATGATGACGGAGGCCAGGGCCGACTTCACATGCTGGTTGGTGTCTGAGACCAGTTCCTGTTCAGACACACAGAGGAGACAGAGGTCAGCACAAACAAATGGTTAAGACACAAAGTACGTAAACAAACATCCAGAACACTGTTATTGGTTATAATCACAACACACTGCTGAGAGGGAGGCTATAATCCCCTTGTGTGTAAATATGCAGCAAAGTGGGAGCAGTGATACTAGCGCAGACAAACAGTCATGCAGTTCAGTGCTGAAGGTGGAATCACTTACAGTACGATGAAGACAGGAATAGCATAATGTAAGTTCAAACATGTTCAGTGATTATATCAAAATAATGTAAGATTTTATTAAAAGAAATATGCACTATAGATTTGTAGGACCTTTTATTTGTACAGCTTTCTAAAGGTTGTGTGTCAGTCTGTTGCCGCCAGTACTACTTTGTTCAACTGTTGATATGTTAAGAGGATAAACAAAATGACCCTATGTGACACTGTCTACCTATAACAAACAAGTCTGTAAATCCAAGAATTGTACTGAATGTTAACCCTTGCCACTTTAAGTAAATAAAAAAGCTTGCAATGATAAGAATGTTCAATAAGAGACTCCACGACTGAACTCATTGTGGAAGAAAACACAACAGTGCCACCTGCTGTTCAAAATCTGACAGACACTGGCACAGAAAGTGTTTTTACTGTCTTGTGCTACATACAAGTGCCAACATTTTATAGCTAGGGTTATCTTAGAGGGCATCTTAGGGTGTTTCAGTGTCTGCAGTCTCTACAGGTGGTAGTGAGCCATCAAAGCAAAGGCACAGGTCATCACTGAAGAGCAGCACACATATTTATAATCCTAGAAATGTGCCCATATTCCATTTCATCCAATATCTTGTTAAAAGATTTCAGTTAAAAACGTGATACTTGCTTTTTTAGTTATACTGATATTTTACTTTACTGCTAAATCTGGACATCTTGGGCATTTAAGTCTAGTGGGAAAAAACAGCTTGTAAACAAAGCCAAGTTTTACCATTTTTACACAATTGTTCTTATATCCGAATGAATGGTATATGTAATATTGTTTAACTGTGTTTGTATCATCATTTTGAAAACCTGTTGGACTCATATCAGCTATTAAGTTACTAAATTATCAGTGAAAATGGACAACATAAAAAAGAAAAAAAAGAATAGCCAAATTGTAAAACAAAAACCAGTTTTCTTTTGAGCGGATATTACACCCCCACATGTCTACAGAAACCCTTTGGGGAACACTATCAAAAGACACGCCTCCAGTCCTCTTCCATGCTTAATAGCGAAGAGTTTGTTAACCTGAGATGAAGCAGCAAAAAAATGTCACAATGCGATTTTGTTTTTACCTTGACACAGGGCAGAATGTGAGTCATGATGATTTGCTCACGGCTGTCCTCTGGGAGGTTCTCACAGAACTCTATCAAAGGAAAAGGAAACCGTCAATAAAATATAAAACGGACAGGACAAGAAGCTAAAGCCAGTTCATTTTTAACCCTTCAATTCATGCAATTTTCAGAAGTATTTTTCTGGTATTCAGGCTTTATTTGCTGACCTTTGACTTTGTTTGCTGCAGCAGCGCGGACCTCAGCTTCACAATCCTTCAGAAGGTTCTGGAAGGCCGGCACCAGATCGTTCTTGGTGATCTCTGGTCCCACTGCTTTCTGGAGCTACATTTGGAGAGAATCAACACGAGTCAGTATCCAAATAAACATGAGGTGAACATTTCAATTCAAAAAGTCAGAAAAAAAGGTAAATGGACTACATTCTGTCTTGACAACCCCTCAAAGCACATAAACAATAAAGTCCCCATTCATAAAAAAAATCATATCAAAAGGTGCCACACATCCAATCGGGAGCAATTTGGGGTTAACCATCTTGCCCAAGTCAGGTTTAATACAAACTAATGTTGAGACAATTCATTCAAAAAATTCACATTAAATGCTTGATGGGAACAACATTTAAAAAGACATTATTTTACGACTGAACACTCATTCAGCTAAACATTCCTAATATCTTTGAAATGCCCTCCACATCACACGATACTTAATTTCCTGCGTCAGACATGAAAGATACAAACAAATGAAACGTAGTTCCTTAAAACTCAAGTGACTTCTGGGAAATGTTTTTTGGTCATACCAACAGTCAAATTACTGATTTAATAAATACATTGAATCTCTGTGGAATGAGTTCAGAGTTGGGTCTGTGCAGTGGCGACTGGTCATTAGGGGCAGGTGGGGCACAGCCCCACCTAGTGTCAGCAGAAAGTATTACAAATAATGATTACAAAAATGCAAAAAAAAAAAAAAAATATATATATAAAATATATTTTAAGATCATGTTTAATCATCTGATTCGTCTGTACATTGCTGTTTTAGTCTGTGTTCTTCTAATTAGTGTGTCTACAGTCACAGTGTGTGCCTATTGAGCTGTTTAGAGCCATGTGGGACAAAACCTGATTATGCCCCTCCCTCTCGCTGTGAAGTGAACGGTGACTGTAAAAACTACACTGCGCATGCTCAGAGTATTTTGTAATGAAATGTGTGTGGCAAAAAAATAATGACCAGAGGGGCATGGAGCTACCATCCCCACCATACGTCATCTCAAATCATTCAGAGCTGATTGGCTGTAAGTACGTGTGCCGCGAAAAGTGTGGTGTGTGAAGAGGAGACGAGAGAGCTGCAGTGACGCGTCCTAAAACCAGGAAGTAAGCTGCGCATGGCTTCCCTCGACAAAAAAGCAATGAGATTTCTCCAGAGGATTTTAGAAAATAGCTGGAAATAAGATCTGTGGGAAACGTACCTGTTAGATAAATGCACGTTTTGATCAGCCGGATAACATCCACATGTCTACCCTACTTTTATAATTTTTTTTATCATAAATCTATGGATTAGATTTATGATAGACTTTTGAAACTACAAGAACATAAGGAGGACTTTTACAAAAAAGTTATAGACATGTTTGTCCAGAAGGATAGGCAAATGGACTTCATCTTCAAGTCAAGGTAAGACCGCAATTTTATTGAAAATGGGATCTTACTAAGAGAGAACAATTCAATATTTAAATGATAAAATTACATTTTTTGGGTATCCTTTTGTTGAACTGTCTGTTTAAAATTAATCGAAGCATCAGACAAAAAAAGCTTTTGAAAATAATATTATATTTTGGTTTAGGTCAAAATATAATATTTGTAAACCTGAAGAGTCAGTGCCAGTGCCTCACCAGCCATGAACCTCACTGCACTGCAGAAGCTTATATATAGACATCTACGTTTTTTGTGCCCCACCACTTTTGTACATATAAAAACGCCACTGGGTCTGTGATAGGGCTGCACGATGTGTCGTGACGATTGTCGTGACGATAATCGCGATATGCGCATGTGCGATATTCACATCGCGTGGACGTGCGATTTAATTTATTTTTTAGGGCTTGCGATATTAAGTAGGCAAATTAACTCAAACACGTCATGTTACAATTATTTTGCTGCTTGCTACAAAAGGAAAACTTGCGCGGCTCTCATGTCAGGGGTACTTTAGTGAGTGACATGCAGGCTCTGCATGCACAGCAAACCACCAATCACAATCAAATCTCCAAAGCAAAACGGACCCGGTGATTAAAGGTAAAAACACTGAATAAAGTAGTTTCATGTGTTTCTCCAGGGCAGTTCGGCGCTGCTAACCGAGCTAGCTCAGCTTGTTGCTCTGATAACTTAAGATCCAGACGTCCGTGACTAAAATCCTTCATCCGGTTAAATATAGTTAAAAAATACCAATTGTATAGCATTAAAGTTCAAGAAAGGATGGTTTGCGGGGGAAAAAACGGTCTTTTCTTCAATTCCTGTATGTTTTCATATCGCAGGGGGGGGGAAATCGCAATGTCAGTTTTTTCCAATATCGTGCAGCCCTAGTCTGTGACAGGATTTGTACAGCCTAGCATATGATTATAAAAGAAATGATTACTAACCAGAAGCCCTGATGCGTCAAAGAAGAAAGATTACAGCTTTAAAGACACGTTTACATATTGATTGTTTGATGCATGTTCTCCATTTATAAAAGCCTAAAAATGCTTCAAAATAGGCACTGATATTAAAGAATCTTTCATCGTCTTCCTTTCTTCACTAGTAACAGATGTTATCGTTTACTTTGACCACAGATACAGTTGTACTGACTAGAGGCAAAAGCCCACACCTAATGTGTTTCATAAGAAATATTTCTCACTAAAGTGTAAATACTTCGACAGCAAAATGTGCCAACACTTTCTAACTATGCACCTCATTTCTTTCAGCATTTGTTTGGCACCTTTTCTTCCCACAGCCTAGTATCCCTTCTCTTTGTAATTGTGTTTTTTTGATAAAGTACTTATTCCAAAAACGTGTCAGTTGTGTCCAGCTGTCTGCTTCAAATAGCCCCCGATATTTGTGAGGCTGATACAGTTTCCAGGTATCAGGCATTAAAATACAGATTGGAGCACCCTTAGAAAGGAGGAAGGAGTCTGCTGCTTACCTCAGAGAACTTGTCAGCAACCATGTAGCGGACCCTCCAGGATTTGTCTTCTGCAGCCTGGCGCAGGGTTGGCATCACCAGGGTCTCAAGGTCCTCCTGAGGCAGCAGAGTGGCAATGCTGACACAAGCCTCCACAGCGAGGAGCCGCACAGAGTCCTGATAAAGAGAGGCAGTGGGATCAGTTTTTGTTCATCACGCTTAACAGATGACTGCAGGAAGCAGAATACAACAGCCGTTTAATTTGACATTAAGGAAACGTACCTGCTCATCAGAGGCCAGAGCAGTGAAGAGGGAAATGATGTCACTTTTTACATAGTCAAGCTCCAGGACTTTGGCAAACTCCCCCAGTTTAGATGCTGCAGCACGACGCACCATAGGAGTGTCATCTGAGCACAAGGTGCGGAAATGCCTAGAGACAACCACAAACAGAGATTACATCACTGAAAACTGACTGACCAAACCTAATTATATGACCAAAACAATCACAAAGGGTAGGCTTTAATATTTAGTTAGAAGCCTAATTTTTAACCATAATGTACACATTTGAAATAAGAGCACTGTAAAAAGTGTTTGTCTTTGGTGAGAATCCACTTACTGGCGGATCTCAGCTTTGACGGTGCTGGACACACGGGGATAACAGACGCTAAAGAGGCCGCAGGCAGATGTGCGAGAAGTGAACCAGTCACCACTGGCCAGCCGCTTGACCAAAGGCTCGAAGTGGACCTCCAGGTCAACTGGAGAGTGCTCCTGAGAGATCTTCCTCAGAGACTCCACAGCCTTGTCTCTGACTACTGTCTCCTCCACTGTAGCCAGGCTCTCCAGAGGAGGCTGTGCATTAAAAAAGAAGCATAAAAAGGTTAGCGAGGGTAAATGTTTTCAACTATTAGCAAGTACAAGACATTAAAGAGTATGTATATGTAATATGTTATACATATAGCATCAATAACACCAATAGCTTATACTCTTTATAGACAATATTACAGATTTAGGTCATCTATAAAAAGGCATTGTGGGCTATGTAGAGGTGAAAACACGAGTATCGTATACAAAAAAAACTAATAAGCAAGCTTTTAAATCGATTGCTCAACTTCACTAAGCTAAAAGGTTTCATCAATTATTCCTCCGAAGAGACCAACAATCTAGGAATGCTATGACATGAAATGATTCAGCATGATATACATGTTACGTCTATGTTGCCATAGCATTAAACAAAATCCACTCTTCAGTGACTTACCAGGAGACAGTGGACATACTCTGGCCCTCCCACCAACATGGTGAAATTGCCAAGCTGCTCAGCCAAGGCCAAGAGCACCTCATCTTCATCGTAGATGGTGTCTAAGAGATTACAGAAAGGAAAAACGAGTGAGCATATCAATTTAGGTCTGAACAAAAATATAAAACGAGGACTTTTGGCAGCAGCTTGGAAGGATTTAAAGTACAACACACTCAGACGTTCTCCATGTGACGACCCTTTGTAAAATAACATTGAGGTCATAACCTCTGTTTGTCGAACATCAGGTGATTTGTATGGGCAAGATGAAGCACTTTATTACCTGTGAGGAAAGGAAGGAGTTCAGTGCGAGTCCTCTCGACACCAAGGGCCAGAGCAATGGTGGACAGCTTCTTGATGCTGTTCAGACGAAGCTGTACATAAAAACGACAATCGTGAGTGAGGCGTTCACAATAAGGTTGAGCGCGTTTAATGAACTGTGTACATTCTTAAGCTTCACATGTACTATTCCCAGCTAGCTCAAGTATTATGACTCACAAGAAAAGTACATCAGGTAGCGTCCAATCTCAGTGACGGTTAGCGTCATCAAAACAAATAGCTAGTTAGCTAGCAAACAGCATTTTAACAATCTATGATAGCTTAACGTCCATTGACAAGGAATAGCCCGACTGAATATAGTCGGCTCTACCCACTGCGGCCTTGAACGCCCAGTTGTTGTGATTGCAAACTGTAGTCAATTAGCTAGCATCCCGGGATACGAGGCTTCAACGCTAGCAGCTAAACCAATGACTTAGCTAGCTTTTCTGTCACACCTATGTTGTTATCTTCACATTTCAGTTAATACAATCACCGACAATTACATTACCAGATTGACAATGTACGCAGTAAATGATGACCGCAAACTAGCTAGGTTAGCAAAGCTGGGTGCGCCCAGTGGATCCAATGATAGGCCCGGGGACGTTAGCTTGCAGCTAATCAAATGCGCGCCTGGAATACGTTAAAATGGGCCAATTTTGCAGAACAATACATATTACGATTTAAGTCAAAGCTAGTGTTTTTACCTGCACATCCTCATTTCGCAGTTCATCAATGAGAACGGCGATAGGGTAGAGAGAGTCGTCTCCATCAGCTCCTGCCATTTTGGATACTGTTTCTGAATGGCGCTGCTGTGCTACGGGGTTTCTGTTTCTGAGCTGAGCGACTGCAGGGCCTCCCTCCTCCGATACTGCGCTGCTGCTGCCTTCAAGACACCGCCGAGAAAACCGCAAAGGAACAATCCTGATTTAACAAAGATCACTCAAAATAAATGAAATAGCAAAGAACTTCCAGCCCAATAAACAAGAATAATTACGTTGATTTATTTTCTTTATCTCTGTGGGTTTGTTATATGTTTTAAAAAACGACTGCAGCGAAATAGAGCATTGAGACGTATGACACATTCAAGTAAGATAGTGCTATAAAATATTTGATTAACAAGGGGTTGGTTTGAAAACTTTGAAACCAATTGTCATGCCCCCATTTAAATGTTCTTACAAAGAAATCCCACAAATACCAAACATCATGACACTCTTTACTAAGGGCAGCAAAATATATGAATTGAATAAGTTAAATTAATGCTTAAATTAGTAGTATTCACAAATGGGCTAATATTTAAAAACAATAATCTTTTATACATGTTGGAAAGTATAATAAATTGCTAACTGTTTCGTAAATAAAGTAGTACCAATTGTTACAGAAGTAAAATACTCAAATAATCTATTAACAGCCACATTAAAACAATTATAATATTAACACATTTTATTATCAACATTACATGAAAAGTAGACCCACTTGTTTAATATTAATTTACAGCGTGACATGCTTTCTTGATTTGAATACTATAATATTTTAATTACAAAATAACATTTTTACATTATGTTGTCTTCAATTGTTCGGACACAATTGCCTCACTGTTATTGCAATTGCAACGTGTGTACTGTGTACAATGAAAAACACAACATATAGAAAACTGAGAATAAGATATTAAAGGTAGGGTAGGTAAGAATGGAGAAACCAGCTCGAGTGCGTTAGAATTTGAAAGTACGCAGCCGAAAAAAATCAGCCCCTCCTCCAACACACACGAACGCGCACATGACCAATGAGGGCACGAGATAAGTTTGTGCACAGATGGAAGGCTGACAGGCAGGTAGGCCATCCAGTTATATCCTAGTAATTGGTCGTGCTTTTTACAGCGCCACGGCTTCCACAGATGAAATGTTTTTATGTATTTATTGTCAAAGCATTTAATATATTCATTGCTATCGGGATGTTAAGAGCATTCCATGGAATATAACAAAAAGTGTTTCTGAAGTCAGTGAATTACCTTCCCTACCTTTAACCATCAAAATAACCTGGATAAAAACACACATCTTATGTAGTATGTACAATGTATTTCCAAAGGAGCCTTGTAGTACAATGAACAGGTATAGTGGGAATGATGTGCTGATGACCGGATCAGGGGGTCACAGGTTCAAACCCCACTGCAGTCAGCATGTCGTTGTATCCCTGGGCAAGACACTTCACCCCAAATTGCTCCTGTGGGGATTGTCCACACTCCACAGTATTGAGTATGTAAGTCGCTTTGGATAAAAGCGTCTAACAAGTGACATGTAATGATGATTATGTGCATCACAGAAAGAGGGCGGTGCTCACTGGAATCAATGTTCATTTTGAAAGCTGTGTAGATTATTAAAAGACTACCCTCCTCTAATATTTGTTATGGATATTACAAAACGTATTTGTTTATTATAGAACACTTTAAAACTGAGAAAATAGCTACAACTATTACATTATTTAGTTAGTATAGTAGTTTAGTAGACCCCAATAAATATGCTCCTTCTTTACTTTTCCTACAGTTTATTAATTGCTGTACACTTTATTATAATTTTATACTATTTATACTATCAAATGTATTTACTGCACCTTTTACAATTAACAAATGTTTTCTCCATGAAAAATTGTTCCAGGATAAAGAATCCCTTTTATTTTGAAAAACAGTGAACCGGATATTTAACTCTTCTTCCGGCGGTATCATCTCATTGGATTATGATGGCGTCTCAGCAGCAGCAGCAGCCCGGCGGACCGATGTCGCAGCCCGGCGGACCGATGTCTCAGCCCGGCGGACCGATGTCTCAGCCCGGCGGGCCGATGTCTCAGCCCGGCGGGCCGATGTCGCAGCCCGGCGGACCGATGTCTCAGCCCGGCGGGCCGATGTCTCAGCCCGGCGGGCCAATGTCTCAGCCCGGCGGGCCAATGTCTCAGCCCGGCGGGCCAATGTCTCAGCCCGGGTTACAGCAGCAAGCTTCATTACAACAGCAGCAGCAGCAACAGCTCCTGAGCCAACAGCAAGACTTTGACCCAGTCCACAGATTTAAGATGCTCATTCCTCAGCTGAAGGAGAGTCTGCAGGTAATTCTGCGGCATGGAGCTAAAAACTGAAATGGAAAAATGCCCAAAACATCCAATGACTTACCCTGATTTGAATTCATCCTCGTTATACTTTTGTGTTTCACCAATAAACATGCCGCTTTATTTGTGTTTTATATTTTCAGAATGTTATGAAGATAGCATCCCTGAATTTGGCCCATAACACGACAATTGACAACGGCATGTAAGTTAATTGGTCGGGGGTCATACGTAAAGCTAAAGTGCTTATAGATGTTAGTGTCAGCCATGTTTCACATGTTTACGTTTTCTTTTTGTTTCCAATGATCTAGCAAAAGCAGCGACACCACAGTTCAGCGCTTTGACAAGAGCCTGGAGGAGTTTTATGCTCTTTGCGATCAACTGGAGCTGTGTTTGGTAAGACTTCAATTCAATATACATAACCACAATATTGATGAAGTAGGCCTACTTGTGTACTAATGTACTAAGTACTAATGTCTGCGTTCACCGGTCACTACAACTTCTACATTTTCTGTATTAATTTAACTGTTCAATATATTGTTTATGTATGTTGAATACCCTTTTATAGTAGATGGTAGGAGTGAGTCACAATATATTAGGAACTGCCAGCCAAAATCTAAGCATTTACCTGACATCTCTGCGGGTTTGTCATGTATAAAGAAAACATGACTGCCGTGAAATAGAGCTTTGTTTAACATACACGTAATATACAGTTTAAGTAAGATAGTGCTTGGAAAAATGTAATTAGCAAGGAGTTTGAACACTTTTAATCCAGTTATCGTGCCCCTGTTCCTGTTTTTTTTAATCATTAAAATGTTCTCACATTTAAAAAAGATATATAGAAAAACACCTGAATACCAAACATCATGACAATCTTTACTAAGTGTGATGGAATCTTCTGAAGCAATGGAGACAGGACTTGGAGAGACACGGGGAGAGCAGGAACTTTGATGGCAAACACTGATGGTTTATTTGGAGCTTTGGCCGGAGAATTCACAAGAAGTGCTGTGCCACGAGTTGACACAGTGGTTGCCAAACCAATTCTGAAGATCTCTACCCCAGACCCCTGTATTTAACTTGTTCTGAGAGTATGTTCAACATTGTGCATAACAAGATAAGAACTATAACACCTCTATCAGCTGACGCCTTCAGGCAGGAATAGGGAGACAAAACACTGAGAGCACAGCAGCCCAAGGTTGCAGGCAAACTGGGTCAAAGGTGTGGGCCTAGGAAAACTAAGGGCAAATTAAATATATGAATAAACTATTATAAATGTATGATTAAATGGGCCATCAAAGGCTTTAGTAGTCTTCTTTTAACATGCTACTGTACTGTATCTAAACCTAAAATATACCCCACAAACTCACATTTGTCTCCTCTCTGCAGCGGCTGGCGTATGAGTGTCTCTCCCAGAGCATTGACAGCGCCAAACATTCACCCAACCTGGTCCCCACAGCCACCAAGCCGGACACGGTGCAGACGGAGTCCATGTCTTATTCCCAGTACCTCGGCATGATCAAGTCTCAGATCTCCTGCGCCAAAGATATCCACAACGCTCTGCTGGAGTGCTCCAAGAAGATAGCTGGGAAGGGACAGCCTCAGGGAATCATGTAATGACCTGGAATAACTATCCTTTTCTACATCTGGTGACATTTTTCAGAAGGTGGAAGAATTTCATATAATGGGAATGTCTCAGAACTCAGTTTTGGCCTAAGGTGCGGTCTCATTTCTCAACATCCTGTATAGTTATTTTATTTTATGTTTCTTGTAAATATTTCCAACAAAATGTCATGCTCTGATATGACCACCAGGTGGTGGCAGAGTTGTATCTTCCAACTCAATATCCACATCTCTTTTGTAGCTTATTTGTACTGACTATTAAAACATTTGTACTGAAACTAATGTTTTCTCATTATTCAACATGCACAAAAAGTCCTGTCTGTCAATAACATGTTCAACCAATCAGGAGGGTGTACTGTTGGAGCTCCATTCATGCGATCAAAAACCAAAATCAGCTGTTGTGAAATGAGTAAAGAATGATTTGTTCAACTATGCAGGTGAAATACCACACATAGTTTAACTCTACCATTTCATCGCATGTGTCTGCAGTGCATTTCAAAACATTTACACTGGCCCAAGGGAATAACATGTCAGACTTGAAATTTACAGAGGCATTAGAATTAAGAGTCCAATAAAAGCAGTCATGCATTGAGTAATAGCTGGGCTCTTTGTCCATGGAGCATTCACAAAAAGAAGCATCTGATTTAACTATTGAAGCAGCAGTGTTGATATAGTGGTGCAACAAAATGGTAACCTGGTAACACACTGGGGAATTTTCAGGGTGGACATTTAGTTATGAGGGATTGCAAACTATTTCCCAAGCTTACATTACATTTATAAATTACTTACAAATTAAAATGTTGCCTATTTTAACCAATTACAAAGTATGCTCCATCCGCCAGTTTGAATATTACGTAATCTAAAAAGTAGTTGGTTAACCTTCCATATTATATAAACATACTAAGAAGAAAAAACACGGAGGACACATGGATCCTTGAGGAACTATACATTGGTCTTCAGCCCACTCCTTTCTGTATGTTGAAGCTAAGATATTAATGAAGTCTGATACATAAGCATGTGAGAGGGGAGCCTAGTGGGCTTGCAGCTGTGGAACATCTCAGACCAATCTGAGCTACTGACAAGTGCTTGGATCCAAAAATACTACCGTGGGTCACTACCAACAGTCATAGCGAAGCTTCATCACAATACACACTCGGACCCTCTGCAGGCCTACAGT